GTCCACATATAGGCTGCAGGGCTCCAAGGTGTTAATGAACCATCTTACATCAACTTTCCCCATGCCAATCTCAGCGATATAGCAAAGCACCAAGCCCACCGTTTTAGCAGCCTACATTTTGTCAAAACTCGGAATAAGCGGGAAATGCGGACAGCTCGCATTCAAATAACACCGTTTGATTCCAAATAGCCAATATCTTGAACACTAAAAATCTACGTTCAGGGGAACTTGATGGCATGTCATTAACAACCACTTGGCGCCGCACGCTGTTGCCCACACAGTTTTGCGGCGATATGGAATGTTGCGAAGTTAATTCAGAATTTGGGGCGATAGATTATGAATATTTGACCTCTAAGCTATCCGCTTGCAACATGCTCAACCACTGATGGATTTTGGCCTCCCCTCTCGTCAACCTTTGTTCGCTTTTTTCCGGTCTCCAGACTGCCTTCTGGACCGATTTATAAATCTCGTGGTAAACTCCGCCTATTTCGGTGCATGTCCCACCCATCTTTTTCTTCCTCGCCAACCTCTCCCAATTTTCTCGGATCTCTGAACTGTCTCTGAGCCGATTTATGTGGTTAGCGGAAATCCTGCCCAATTTAGTGTAAGAGGAACACAGAATCTTCATGCAAGGCTTGAAAAAATGCGAAATGTTGCGCGCAAGTAATTTCTCGCCACCCCATAGACCGAACGTTTTTACCGGCGAGACCTCAGAAAAGTAGATTTGTTCAGCAGAAGTCGTGACTAGGTCCGAAGAGCATGTTTGTGAGATTTCCCATCTTTTTAAGGATCTTCTCTCAAAGTAATGTGTTGATTCACACCCTATGACCTCCATCCACAATGAAATTAAACACGAATGAATAGCGCAGAAAATGCTTACAAATTTTATGTGAAGCTATTTCAAAGGACGATGTGTTAGAGGAAAAAGTCCAGTTCAAAGAACGCTTGTCCTAGCAGTCAACCATAGAAGTCAAATTCGAAAAGAAACACGCTTGGGCTCTCCAGACAACCTGATAGCAGAATGTTTAGAAGAGCTCGAAACTGTATACGACACGTCATTTTTCCTATTGGAAAGCGAGTGAGAGTTAATTGCTGCTTTGGCTGATTTTTGTCAACTGGACCTCCCACTCCCAGGTGAATAGGGGGTGAACCGCGGACCAAAAACCACCATGTACTTGCCCTGAGACGCAGGTGGATTCAGGGGATGGACTCCCTGTTTCTGTAGTGCTGTGTTCGATTCATACCAGCTGTCTCCACTCAGGCGCCATGCATGCTTGCGTGTGCGGTGTGTGTGCGGTTGGTATCCTGCATGTCGGCACAGCCAAAAGCTTGCATTCAAGTGACTGGGAAGTACATGGGAGGCGATTCGGGGCCGCCTCCAAGAAATAAGCCCCTTGTTCCGCAGCAGGCGTAATAACTTCGTAT